GGGGGGGGGGGGGGGCAGCTTTTCCAGACGGGGTGCCCTATTGTGTAACCGAATGTCAGCTTCTTGATATATTCAAATTTGCTTATAAGAAACAATTGTAAAAAAAATTGTAATCCCGGGCCCGAAACCTTGACTCAGAAGTACCAGGATGGTGTCCGGCGGGGGATAGTTTTTGCCATTGTTTAGTTAGGTTTGTATTTAAGTTAAAAATTGTAATCCCAGCCCCGAAACCTTTACTCAGAAATACCGGGATAGTGCCCGGCGGAGGTTAGTTTTTACCATTGTTTAATTAGGTATGTAGTTATGTTAAAAATTGTAATCCCAGCCCAGAAACCTTGACTTAGAAATACCGGGATGGTGTCCGGCGGGGGATAGTTTACCATTTTTATTTAAGTGATTGTACCTGTCCTACCTTGTAATACCGGCCCCGAAACCTCGACTCAGAAATACCGGGTTGGTCTCCAGCGGGGGATAGTTTTTACCATATTGCAGTTAAGTGATGTAGCCTTAAGTCTAACCTTAAACAGTAATTCCTGGCCCCGAAACCTTGACTCAGATAGAAATACCAGATTGGTGTCCGGCGGGGGATAATTTTTATAATTATTATTTATTATTGTCATTATGTGGTTGCCTTAAGCTTATGTTAATAATGATAACATTGATAAGTATACTGCTATTAATAATGTTTATTAGGCCTATAATAAGGATTTGATAAATTGTTTTATTATAGTGAGATTACCATTTTGTTAACGCACGTATTGTGTACCATCCTTGCAGAGAGTATCAGATTGTCGAGTGGAAGTGTCTCTTGGGAAGGCCGATTGGAGGTTTGGTGGTACAAAACCGGATGCTGGCTCTTCTGCGAAGATCGATGGGAGTGGGGTACAGTATGCGACGATATGTTTGGCATGAACGATGCAAACGTTGCCTGTCGATCGCTTGGCTACGTCGGAGCTGCGTCTTATAGGACTTGGGGAGGTGGTGGTGGTCCCATCTGGATCGACGACCTTCAATGTGGAGGTGGAGAAAGCCAGATTTGGCACTGCAATAGCCGAAGATGGGACAATTCCAACTGCGGTCATGGAGAAGATGTAGGAGTTGTTTGCGGTAGGTGCATCGCCTGTT